CCAAATGGTACAAGTCCTTCTCGCCCTCTTTAGTGTCCAGCCTCCCATAAAACTCATCATACACATTCTGCTTTGCCTTAGGTATCTCCCTCTTTGCTCTATGTTCCATCTCCTTATACTCCTGTCTCCTCTCTTCAGTTCTCTCACTGTCATATTTCTTCTTGGCTAACCCCTTTCTCTGAATAGCTTCCTGCACTTCACTATTCCACCACCAGGTTTCTTTATCATCCATTATCTGTCCAGATGACACACCAAGTACTTTCTTACCTGTCTCTACTTACTGTTGCTGTAGTAGCCCAGTCATTTGGAAGCTCTTTCTTACCACCCAGAGCCTTTAACAGCTCCTCTCTGAATTTATCACAACATTCTTCTTTTCTCAGCTTCATCCATTTCATCATTTTCTCTGATTTTACTGTTTTTCTCTTTTTCACAGCAAGTCATTCTACACACAACTGTGTGATGCTGTCTGGCCACACCCTCCCCTGCCACAACCTTACAGTCCCCAACCTCCCTCAGGTTTCCTCTTCTACACAGAATGTAGTCTATCTGTTTTTTCCTGCTTCCACTTTTATAGGTCACTCTATGTTCCTCCCTCTTTTGGAAATAAGTGTTGACTACAGCCATTTCCATTCTCTTGGCAAAATCCATGATGATCTGTCCTTCCTGGTTTCTTTCCTTGTCACCAAACCTACCTATCACTTCCTCATCTCCTCAGTTTCCTTCACCAACATGTCCATCAGGTCTGCTCCGATCACCATTCTCTCCTCGCTGGGAATACTCTCTATCACTTTATCCAGATCCTTCCAAAAATTATCTTTCTTCTCCATATCACATCCAACGTGTGGAGCATAAACCACTGACGATATTTAGCATCAGACCTTCTACTTCTACCTTCAGGCACATCACCCTATCTGACACTCTTTTCACCTCTACTACATTATTTGCCAACTCCTTCTTCAGGACCACCTCTACTCCATTTCTCTTTCTATCAATGCCATGGGAAAACAGTTTGAACTCTGCTCCAAGGCTGAGAGATGTACTGCCTTTCCACTTGGTTTCTTTGACACATAAAACTTCTACCTTCCTTCTCTGCATCATGTCAGCCAGTTCTCTAACTTTGCCTGTCGTTGTCCCCACATTTAAAGTTGCAACCCTCAGTTCTTCACTTTCCTCTTCTCCCTCTGTCTCCTGACATGATTCCCTCCTCGTAGTCTTCAACTAACAGTAGCACAATTTCTATCAGCACCCTGTTTTTCAACAGCACCAGTGGTCATTGTTAACCCAGGCCTTGACCGATCCTGTATGGTTTTGCTTTGATGAACTCGCAATATAGTTTTGGCAAAAGTGTTTTACATCAGGTGCCCTTCCTGACACAACCCTCACCATTTACCTGGGCTTGAGACCAGCACAAGAGATATACTGGCTTGTGCTCCCTAGTGGCTGGTTTACAAACTAAAAGCAGCACCAGCAGACAAAAATACAGCAACATTGCTGAAACAGATTTCAAAGAAATCAAAGCATAAATTTACAAAAAACAAAACAAAAGCCATGTTATCTGTCACCTGAATGAGCTGAACTGTTTATCTGAATGGCTAAAATAGCATAAAGTAGAATGGAGAAAAAAACGTGTGAAATAAACAGGAAATTATACAATATGTGCAACTCATAATTATGCCAACTACATGTGTAACATTGTTTCATCTGACCTCTTACATGCCCTTAGGTGTTTGATTCACTAGCACATCTGAATCTTGTTTGTTCAATAGGTAATACAAAACCTACTCAAATACCTGCTTTTATGAAAACTCTGATGAATCACAACAAGTTTTAATTTTTGGCACAGCAAGTTTATGGACCTAATGATTAAAAATGTTAATAAATGACCTGCCTTCACATCAGATGGGTCACCATCTGTCTGCAGTTTGACATAAACTGGGACAAAGTGGCTTCATGTTGAGCTGCTGCTGAACTCTGCAGCTGGTCTCTGTTGGCTTTATTGGTGTTGCTGGATATTTTTCTTTTTTATATAACAGAACCAGCTGATCGCAAAGCAAGCTATTCATTTTCTAAACTTGCGGTCTTTGTGGAGAATCAGACATGTCTGTTTGTTCTCATTTTTCCTGCTTCTTACTGTTTTTTTGGTTGTGTTTCTATGTGATCCTGGACAGTATATCAACTTTTTAAACATAAATTAGAGCTTTTCGGTCAATAAAATTAGATTTAAAAAAATCAGAGATCATCATTTCCTGCAACCTAGAGGATCTAGGACACAGCACAGCCCCTCTTCTGTCTCTTCTAAAGTGTGTCGGAGACTTAGGCATAAGCATCTCCTTCAGTCTACAGCTTGGTTACTTTGTCCACATATTTAGAAGCTGAAGTTTGCATATTTCTATTAAAGAAAAACTATGAACTTTTCATTGTTTAAATCAACTATTCAAATCACCAACATTTGCAAGTGCTGTGTCATTTCATTATACTTTGGCAAGTCATTCTACATTTATTATTTCACTCCTATGTCTCCTTGTGGTCCCAGTTCTGTGGTTTTACAGGGAGGCTGTTTTTTTCTGCCCTACCTCCAACAGCCCAGAACTGGACAGGTCGCCATGGCTACACACCAGCAACTTCATCAACTGAAAATTGTGTTTTCAAGATGCACTAAGTCCTCAATATTGCCCAGCAAAACTGAAAGATTTCCATACTTTTTTTGTCTCATGATGACATTTTAATAATTTCTTTAAATATTATAAATTATAAATTATATATCTGTACCCACCTTATATTGATGTTGGAAATTTAAGCCAGCAGGATGGGATTTATGGAAGCTGTCATGTTGTATTTTTGAGACCAGCATTTGTGCAGAAATATGGACTATGAGTCCTGCCTACTGCCCTGTACACAATCATTGTGACTATTTACAGTCAGATTTGTAAAAAAAAATATTCCACCACCTTTTCATGCAGTAGCAAGGTAAGAAAGTCACTCAACAGGATTATTTACTATTCATTGTGCTTAGTGACTAGAGAATAAAAGCAATAAAAGCTAATAACATTGTATTTATCATCATTTTAAGCATTTAGTCACTGTAGTAACATGTTTACCAGTGCAGTTCTGTGTTTATAGAAGCTGTCCTGGGGGCATTCCTGTTGATTTTCCCAACTC